GAAATATATATCGACTCTCGAGGTATTGCATTATTGCGTTATCGGTGCGAATCCGTTAAGTTATTGACTAATACGCCTCATGTAACTCAGAATATGAAGAACAGTATCTACTGAAGATGATCCGATAGTGGATCGAAATATATGGATTTAAGAGAATCTTAAATATAGAAATAATTTAATGGACTTTTTACTTGCGCTCTTTCCTTTTACTGCGCTTGACTCCTAATGCCCTTGTTCTTCATTGTTTATTGAAATATATATATATATATATATATGTTATTTTCTTAAAATATAATGTTTCTTCAACATTGCATTTTAAACAATTTGTTTCTAGAAAATCACTAATTAACCGTCATTGTGACGTATTCAATTCGAATGTCTGATCGATCTGTCGACTTGTCCGGCTCGCCTCGGCTGCTTTCACTATCCGGCAATCTGGTCCCTTCTCCCTGAGACCAGCGTGATGGGTCTTGCGTAAGGCCCAGTTAAGGGGGGGCCTCAGGGGTCTCACCGGCGTGTGCACACATCGGCGTTCGCACCACGTTGATGTATAGAGACCCTCATCTCCATCTGCGTGCGTGCACATTTTAGTTGTTACACACGTTCGTCAATTACAACGCATTTAGCGCTTGTTACATAGTTACATAGTTAGCCACAGTGTGGCCGGTGACAAGAGGAAGATCACGCCTTGGCATTAATCTGACATTAAACACTCGCTAAATTATGTATTTTAATTTTCATAAAGAACTCTTTTTTTTTCTTTTATTCACAAAAATCCATATCTTAATTAAAGTACTTAGGCATACACAAAAAAATGAATTATAATTGTTAACTATGTTAATTAAGAAATTTCTTTGAAAAAAGAGACTTTTTTTATAGTTACAACAATTTCTATTTAAACAGCTATAAATAGCTATTTAATCTAATCATAATTTATCGGGCTTGAAATAAACGCTTATTAGCATCATATTTTTCTAATCAAGAAGAACTTACTCGTTGATTAGAATAACGATATCTTTTAAATATAGTTGCTATAATCGCATTGTGAGCACGATCTTTGGAGTTTATATTTATGTAAAACGTCGAATGACGTGATTTGTGCAGCCGTTCACCACATAAATGTATGGAAAAATAATGAGGGTATTTGTGCAACATAATTGTATAAAGCGTACGCGTTGGGAACGTTGCATCCTCAGACATTTCAAGAGATGTAGGAAGATCGCTTTGGCATTAAATCGAACGTCATCTATTCACACGCGATGCGTTCTCCCGCAATTTATCGCGATGCCGCGAAAGATTAGGACGATTAGAAGAATGATGAATCGCAAGTCGTTTTCTTTGTGGAATAAATATTCCTCGTTTCTTCATACGAAAAGTTATGTAAGATGTGTTTAGACGGAGAGTGTTTAGCCTTTTAAAAATAGATTCTTCAACAGTTTTTCCAATACGATGATTGTTGCAAACGTACCTATTATGATTGCCGTTACGTCACTTAAACTTAATTAACTTAATGTATTCCAGATATCCAGATTACAACATCCGATTTTTTATCAATTTGCGTCGTGAATGTGGACAATGATGTAATTCCTTGTTTATATATTTAAGTCTTATTAAATTAATTTGCAAAATAATAAATTGGTTTCACGTTGTTTCATAATCGAAAAAATACTGTAGCAAAAAATTTCCGATTGTTATCCTGCAATCTTGGCGAAATCGTTCTTTTTCCATTAGCTTCTAATTCGCGACACTTTTGCAGGATTTATTTGCTGATGCATGTTTTCACATGTTTTGTACACATCTCCTAGAAAACTCTTTCTCGACTTTCTCCGGCGGCGATTCGCGATTTATTTGATTTAAATTCGCTCGTCTTTCTCCAAATCAATATCCGGCGACAGATCCTAAACGCGACATCCGGACAATTCATCACGCTCGGCGCCGCTGGTCGGCAGGCCGAGCACGTAGGCAAACCGAGTGGCCGATCAACGGTGGAATCCTGGTGGGGTTCGGCAAAGTCGGCGGTGAAGGGAGACGGGGACCGTCCCGGAGGTGTACCGAGGCCGACACCTAAAGTGCGCGCCAATCGCCAACTTCGCCGTCAGAGACAGTAGTCAAGCCGAAGAGAGTGCCGGAAAGATGAGCTATTCGAGGAGCGTGACCCTGCTGCTGCTCCTGGCAGTCCTGGCACGTGGTAAGTCCACCACCACCGCCACCCGCCAACCACCGTAACCCGCGAAGTGGTTACCTTCACCTCGCCTAAGCGCGACCCTACATCTCGTGCTCGCATCGTGCGTGCATCTCCACCTCGGAGATGCGCTTCTCGTCTTCCTCTGTGTACCGAGGACTGCCCTCCCGCAGGCGTGAAACGTTTTCTTTTCTCCATGGGCTCCTGACAGGTTGCGACATCACCCTCGAGCCCGCTCGAGGCTTTCACCGACGAGATACCATATGGTTAAGATCCGTATGTGTGACATAAGCTGACATTCCAAAGTGATAGATAAAAAAATGTATCGGAATAATCTACAATGTAGCTGACCCGTGAAACAACTTATCGCTAGATATTTTTAGCAAATTTTATTTTTCAAAAAAAAAATCAGTTTATTTCTAAACAATTCATTTTTTAATTTTTTTAAAATCTTTCAAATATTTTTTTTTTTAATATACTTTTAATAATGTTATTCAGATAATTTTAAGATTTTTTTTAAGTGTATTTTTTATGCATACAAGATTTTTTTCAAAAATAATTTTGATGTATTAACTATGATTATCTTTCTTCAATTCTGAATTTTCATTTCTTTAAAAAAAAATGTAGGTTTTATAAATAGTTTTTTTTCTTATTACTGCAAACTTAAATTTATTACGTTATTGTATCATTTTTACATTTCTATATGTATAAGATAAGTATAGTGTTCGTTACACTCGGCCTCGTTGTGGGAACGTACGTTTGCGAAAAAAATTTAGGTGAACAGACAATCACGAGGCTGTCATGCGAATCGAGTCTTTCCAAGTCAACAGCACACCAATTAATTAAACTCAACCAATTCAACCAAAATACCGTTTTTTATTCATATGGATTTTACAATTGTTTATTTCAACAAAACAGTGCATCGCGACATAATGCGAAAGATAATTATCTCTATATTTTTAATTTTATTTTCAAAATATATTCATATTTTTTCTCAAATACTCGCAGTATGTTTATACATATACATATACACTTTTATATATATTATTATATATTATTTATGTAATAAGATGGTAATATTTTTCATGCAAGAATATTGTGTATATTAATTAAAATATTTAATATAATTTAATTTAATTGTATGTACGTTTGTATGTACATTTTAATGTACTGTTATGTACTATTACACATTAAAATATGTATATTAAATTAAGAGTAAATTATATTACATATTTTAATTTATATACACAATATTCTTATATAAAAAATATTAATATTAATTTATATTATATCAGATTACATTTTGAAGAAAAGAGAATTATTTTTCTTCGACATGTAAATTTTTACCTTATAGCCCATGGTGCCACTCTACTCAATGCTCCGCCATGCCCTGATCCTTATGGGATCCACGCTTACGCTCACCCTGAGGATTGCGGGGCTTTCTTCTTGTGCACGAATGGCACGCTATCCTTCGAATACTGCGAAAACGGACTTCTGTTTGACGGACACGGTGCTGTGCATAATCATTGCAATTATAATTGGGCCGTCGATTGCGGTAATCGCAAGGCCGATTGTAAGTATCATACTGCCTTCACAATATTCTCTCATTATTTATTAAAAATTTTGTTTCGATTTTTGTCCATTTGAAGAAAAAAAATATTAAACATTTGACAAAAATGTTATTATTTATTAAAGTATTGCTAAAAAAATTATGCAAAACTTATATAAAAAAAGAGATAAAATATTGCGACTAAATAAAATAGATATTAATATAAATTATATATTATTAGATTATTATTTGTATTATATAATTTTATTTATGTAATTATTTATTCCATTGTTTCTTCGCTAAACTTACATAAAAGTAAAATTTGTCAGTCATGTTAAAGGAACATCGAAAAAGTAAAAGTTGTATGTGCAAGACAATTTCGGTGGCACTTTAGTAGGTCGCGTTAACGCCAATCATTATAATTTCGCCCTCGAGCGAATCTTTTTGAATCGCTTATCTCTCAACTGGCCCAATGTCTCGACTCAATCGCGTGACTTTCCAATTTTCAGTCTTATTTCTCATACCTTATTGCAATCGAAAAAGTCAACGTTAATAAAAAGAAATAACATACCGAAACGGTGTTCCTTCACTACACACAAAGAAAAAAAACTTATCAAGACAATGGTTAATTGAACAAATATTCTCGACCGGAAAAATCTAATCTTATCTATCTTTACGATTTATACTAAAAAAAAAAATTAAAAAAATAAAAAAAGATAAGAAATCTCTTTCTTGTCGAATGGCGCATTTAATTTGTTTTAATTAATTTGCATTTTGCAGCTCAGTTAAATACAAAAAGAATTTATGTAAAAATAACTCCTCCTTAGACACGCCGATCAGCAGCCCGGGCTGCGAATATCAGTTCGGCATGTACCCGGACAGCGATAGCTGCAGCACCACTTACAACAAGTGCATCTACGGTGATCCACATCAGACCCATTGCGACCCTGGCCTGGTCTACAACGCCAAGACCCACACGTGTGTGTGGCCGGACGAGCTCATCCCCTTCTGCAACCCCGAGGCTATAGTGGGATTCAAGTGCCCGCACAAGCTGCCCCCCCACAGTCCCGCCGCCAAGTTCTGGCCCTACCCGAGGTAATACACGTGCCACGCAATTATATACGGGATGCACTTCCGAGAAATCACTCGTAATGAGAATTCACGCGGAAATAAAACGCGGCGACGGGAGTCGATGCACTCTCCTGGGCAGGCGGTATTTTTAAGTATACGCTTTCTTTCCTTCTTCGCTTCTCGGAAGACCGCAAGAATTTAGTTCCTCGATCTTTTTTAAGCGAACCGTTATAATGTCATTTTACTTCTCGATACTGACTGGTAATTTATTTATTATCAATTATTTTAATTTTTCAGTTCACAATAACACTTCTGCAATATAATATATATTTTTTTCATTTAACATGACATAAATTAATTTCATCGTATCTTACATGTTTAATTTAAAAATTTCTCAAAATATTATTTGATCTGATGACTGATTATATTCAAAAATTTTTGATATCTCTTGTATTAATCTCTTCCCAACAACTATTATCAAAATTTAATTTTATAAATATCCGATTACATCATCAGATTCTCATGTATAAATATTTGTTGCATATTTTTTTAAATGCTTATCTTATTACACATGGCTGCAAAACGGTAATAAAATTCTTTATCTCAGTCTTTCTTTCCTTTTCGTTATTTACTTCTTTTATTACGAGGAAGATTCGCAGAGAGGAAATATTGTTCACCACCAAAGATCGTGAGAGTAAAGAGAGTTAATGTTATTAAATGTCAGACCGTTTGTGCGTGGCGTTTTAATTTAAGAACCGGTTGTCTTTCAAGAAAGACTGGGAGAAAAAGAAAAAGAGAAAAGAGAAAGAGAGAGACAAATATTGACGCGCGTGTTTTACTCAAATTTTCTGCCACATTAACACAAACACTCTTTCCTTCTGAATTTTATTGAAATTGGTCAGAATATTAATGCTCGAGAAAGAAAAAGAAAACCACGACTACGTGCAATTTATTATATTATAATATTTTTTCTCATTGTATTCATTTTAATATTGCAATTCATAAAGCTTTTTCCAATCACACAGTCACAGATGTTTCATTATAAATTTTTAAAGTGTAGCGAAGCGAACCATTTTTGTTAAAGCATACATTATATTTAAATTTTTATGTTTAAATTATTTTAAAGTTTTTATGTTTTAAAGATTTCAGTTTTTAAGGGCGTGAATCAGAAATTTAGACTCGCAAATATGTATGATTTTTAGATTCCCTGTGCCGAGTGACTGCGGCAGGTTGATCACCTGTGTGGATGGACACCCGCGACTTCTCACCTGCGGAGATGGAAAATTGTTCGATTCTGTGAGCCTGACTTGTCTGGACCCGGATGAAGTTCCTCACTGGTATGTACACTTTATATTTTAAATGCTACAGATCAAGGTCTTACTTGATCTTAGGCAAACACGAATCTGATTTAAATATTTTGTCAATAAAAAATACAAAATTTTACATATTTATTAAAATCAAGATTTATGTTGAATAAAGAACATAAGTGAAGATATTTCAATATTCTAATTACTATTTATGTATCTTTTAGCTCAAATGGCATTTAAACGTGGAGGCACATTCTTGACAATCAACAAACATCAGACAACGAATTATACAATCGGTAATAAATTAAAATTTGATAAAACGATATGAGAATGTTAATTAGAGAGTTTTAAATAAAACTAAAAAATTATGTGTACAGTAAAAAAATTAAATTATCACAGGACAAAATTGATTCTGGAAATTGATTAAGAGAACTAAGGAGAAAAATCAATTATAAAAGTCAAGGTAACTATAAAGATAAATTATAAAAATATTATTAAGAAGACATACACTTTTATACAAAAAAACTAGAAGAAATTAATTAAAACTAAAGGCAAAATAAAAGATTTATATTCCTGTTAGATTCTATTTTGATTCGGCGTTGCCAATAGGTGGAGAATATATCAAACGTAAATTATTATTAATAATAGACGTTTAAAGGGGACTTAATTGCATGTATCATGCGTGAAGAGCAAATGTACAATATGTAATACATATAGTGTATTTATATAATACGATATGTAATACATATAATGTATTTATGATAAATATAGTAACAATGTACAGCCAGGCAACATTGAATAAAATCTGGACATGCGTATAAAAAATATACAACGTACAGTTTATTTCAATCGATCTACATATACGTGGTACGAGTCTTACGATTACAAGAGCGCGGGGGTGAAGAAGGGCGGGACGCAGGGGGAGAAAAAGAGAGTGAGGGAACAGGGAAAATATTTACATCTCGACCGATGTGATAGAGGTGAATGGTGAGCAATCCAGGGATCGAAAAACGAGATATTCATTATAATTAACATCATTATTAATAATAATAATAATAATAATAATACGAATCCCCATTGAAGGGGAAGGAGAGCTCGATCGGTCAAAGACATGCACGGGTCGATGGATCGATCGACGAGTCTCGGTCCTTGAAAATGTTTCCTCTTTTTTAGTCTAATTACACTTCTTAAATAACAACCCTGCATTTGTGCACATTTTGTTGAATTTGTAAAAATTTATTCAATATTTCTTTTTCTTTAAAATTTACGTCGTGTTTAATATTTTTATGATACTTTCTCTTTTATGAAACTCTTTTATTCTTTGTTTGAGTTTTTTAGAATCAAAACTTTAAGATCAAACTTTATCATGCTTGTTTGATTTTATTTCAGTCTTTCTAAAATATTTAATTGTCTTTGAGAACCTTATTGAGAACTTTATCTTTTGTATTTAAATAATTAGAAAGTTCTATTCAATGTGTGAATGTTACCTCAGATCTTAAATTAATTAAATAAATTTTTCATCAATGCATTAATTCATGAATAAATTGAAATTCGTTGCTCATCAATTGGAAAGAATCGCATCATACAATTATATGTGATTGCCATCTCTCGAACTTTTACTTAAATTTAAATTTCATATTTCTATCTGAATATTAAATCTACAGCGAAGATGAAAGATTTTATCCGGAATGTTTTCCTGAGGAATCGTGGGACTCTCTTCGATTTTTCTGAAACTTCAACAAAATGACAATCAAATGAGTTTTGAAGAAAATTCGATCCTACGTGAATTCTAGAATTACGAAATTACGGAACTGCAAGATCGCGCACGAGAATCTGGGGAGACTCGACGAGAAGAGAATTTCTCGAGTCCTCCGTACCGATCGACGTTCTCCGGGATCTCGCTCGTCGAGAAGGGACCTCCTGGCGCTTTTCTTCATTCTTCGCGGCCGGATAGGGGCTGTCGCGATTTTAGTTTCTGGCGCGTGCCCGCAGGGGAATCGGCAAGGCGCCCGACGGCAGAGGCGGCACACCAGGCGGCAGGTTCTCCTCTTCGGGTTCCTGCTCGTTGCGACCCTCGGACAGCTCACCTTCGGTAGGCGGCGGTGTCGTGGGAACGTCGCAATCCTCCGTCGGTGGTACCACGCACCTCAACGACCGTCTGTCGAACACCAGCATGGCCGGGCAACGTTGCAATCGCGGGTAACCACCCTGGCATTGCCAATAACGATTGCACGATTTGCCCAGCGGCACGTTGCCGTTGGCGTCGTCGTTGCAGAGTGCTGCAATCAGGCTCCGTTTTATTCCTAGACTAACTGGGACGTGTGCCTGGAGCTCTTAACGCTTTTAAAGATAATCATACTCAGTGACCGAGATACACGAGATTGCGTTATATTCACGTGCATATAAACATATCGATTGTTATTTAGAACTCTGATATTAAGAGATTGGAAGTATATAATAAAAATAAATATTTTATTAAAATAAAAATAAAAAGTTCCGAGAATTCTTGCATTACAAATTCATCATTTTTGAATTTTCGAATTTCTTATTTCCTCGTTGTGAATTGGCGCGATACCGACTCGGTGAAAGTCAAAAACTTTCATTCGAATTGGATCCATGTTGGATAGATTAATTCGAAATTTAATTATGCGCGCGCGTACTTACAGATGCATATATATTTATGAATATCTCTTTTTCTTCTACTTTCACTCTGCATATACGAAACTATTGCCAATTTTCCAAAGATTTTCAAAATATTATAAATTATTATTAATCCAAAATGATTAATATTCAAACGCAACATTTTTAACATTATATAACTCTAACATTATATAACTAACTAACAGTTCAAAAACAAATATTTTAGCTCATTTTCTCATCTTTTCTTCCTAAATTTTTGTTTAAATATTGCAAAAAATATTTGACATTTTATTCTGATTCTAAAATATTTCTCATTAATTTCAACTTTGAAAAAGAAATACAATATTGCGTATGATCGATGCATCGACTGGCGTTTCACATTCAAAGAGAGGCGATGCGAATTAATAATAAACGCCTTTTATCAGATCCCGAGGGCAAAGAGGGGAAGAAAGGCGCGACGAGAATTCACTTCGAATGCTAATTAACTGCCTCGCCCCTTTTTTCTCGGGGCACTGACTTCTGGAACCGAGAAGCAGGTACGAGGAAACGCATCGCGCGCGTCCTGTCCGCCCACTTTCGAAAGTGAAAATGAGCCGCTTCTCGCGAATTAAGTCTATTTAAAACCGCGTGTTAGAAACTTCTTCATTGAACTTAAACCAAACGCAATTAATTCCATTTCTGAAGATAAATAAAGAAGATCCAGTCCGATTTAAAGTTTATTCTACTTAAATATTTAATGAAAATCGAATTGTTAATTAATTCCTCAAAACTTTTATTTCAAATATTCCGACCAGCCATCATCTTTTCTTATGTACTCAATTAAAAAAGAATCTATTTTATTTTTCTCGATCAAATGTCTCAAATTCAGATGCATAAATCCCAATGACATTCTAAAAAAAAAGATTTTTCACCTCTTGACTTTCTGATCTTTATACTTACGATGCTTCTGACATCCCTCGACATTTTCAGGCCAGTCGCAGGATCTAGCCCGTTCGTTGTAAAGCAAACCGCCTATGCAAAGCTGCTCGGTGGCTGTGCCGTTCCAGCAGGTCCAATACCTGGTGCAGGAAGTCTCGTGGCCAAAGATTCCATACAACCAGTCGCAATGCTCCGTCGGGATCGGTGGATTCGCCTGGCGTTTGCCATCGCAATAGTTCGCGCGCCAGGGATAATCGCAACCCTCGGTGACGCCACGATGCTTGCCGGCGAACACGAGACCATTTGGACAGTCGAACAACTCCGGACGACCGTTCACGCACTCCCAATAGCGATCGCAATATTCGGCATCACCCACCACCCGCGATTTTGTCTGGCATGGATCCTCCTGTTGCTGCTTCTGGCCCAACGAGCCTATAAGCGCGAAGACATAAAC